AAATAATATAGCTAAGAATTTAAATTTACTAAATATTATATTAAATGCTATTTTTTTAACTAAGTTATCTCCTATCTATACCTACTAGTATCCTAATAGGAGATTAATCTTTAATATTATCTAGCTCCCACTTACTATATCTAGCAACTCCTGGATTTAGGGCAATGGGTAGCTATTCTTAACTATTAAATTATTTAGTGCTTAATAGTTAATACACATTCGCCACTCTCCTGTCGCTTTTCGTCTCCTCATGGGGGTGGTAATCCCTGGGGGTCTAGGATATTAGGGAGGTTGATATTAGAGACTATAGAAGCCTTAAGTATTTATGCTACTAGCACTTCTAGTTCTAGTGGTTAACTCTATTTCCCTCCCTTAAGGCCTTTATTAAGGGGTTTATTATTAGGATTTTACTTAGTTAATAATCCTTTATATAATATTTAGGTTTCCCACATATAAAATAGAGTCCTCTTATACTAATAATTAATTATTAGGGGTATAGTATATATCTATTTATAGGGGTAGGCCTCCTAAGTAAGGTATATAGTTACCTTAAGATATTAATATCTATAGTATCTAGCACTCTTATTAGCCTATAGATATATTATATAATAATAACCTTTTTCTTATAAAGGGCAAATTTTGCAATAACCCTAGCTAAGGTAATTAGTTTATTAGATTTATATATTCACTACTTTTAGAGTTATTTTTAGCTGCCTATAATAAATTATTAAATAAGTATATTCTCTACTAATAAGGGGTTAATCTAGTTTATAACTTTTACTAGTTTATAGGTATATATCTAAATAAGTTACTTTTTTTAAGTAAGACTCTTATATACCTCCTAATAATATTTCTTACTAAGATATTTAGTATAATTATTAGTAATCTACTTCTTAAATTCTATTATAGTTTTAATAAGGGTATAGAGCTTATTATTAATAAAGCTTTATAAATATCTTTATTATTTATATACCTTATTATTAAGTTTCTATTTTATTATTAGAACCTTTTCTCTATTAATAATAAACTTCTTATATAAGACTTCTTTATCTTAAAAGTATTTATTTATTTACTATAGCTATTTTTAGGTGCCCTTATCTTAATATTTATCTATATATTTAAGGATCTAATTAAGTTCTAAGATCTTTTAATAGAGGTGTCTATCTTAGTTATTAAGATTATTAGTTAACTTCTAATAGCTAGTTTCTTTAGTGGCTATTTAGATATTATTCTAGGGATCTAACTACTTAATAATTACTTAATAAAGGTTATCCTAAAGTTAAGTCACCTATATATAGGTAGTCTTAAATTCCTAGACTAGGTGGTTTACTTAGCCTCTTTTATCTTAGAGTACTTACTTTAGATATTTAAGAAGGGGGCGAACATCTATCTTATCTATCCTAATAGTTATAATTATTAAGAGGATTTTAAATACCTTAGGTAATAAGTGGTTCTATATATTACTAATAAGATTTATTATTAACTTATAGTAGAAGATTAAGTCTTTTATTTACTTAATTTTTTTAATAAAGATACTTAATAATTCTTTTTTTTTTACTTAAGGGGTCTTTTATCCCTTTTATCCTACTTTTAAATCCTATTAATCCTTAGATATTATCTATAGAGTAGCAGTCCATCAGGGTTAATATAAGGGCTAACCCCTAATATAATATATTACTAGATATAATATTTAAAAGCTAATGGTCTCTAAGAAATCTCTATCTATTACTACTATAGGTTAAAGGGGAGGTATCTATATATCTTCCCTTAGCTATTAAAAGCTGAGCGACCTGGTGGCGATAGAACTCTATAGAATCTACTAATCTATAATATAGAGCGAAAACTCTATATACTGTCTTATAGAGGTTAGGAGATCTTGGCGCGTCGGTGAGCGGGCACCTCAGCAGAACGCCAAGGTGATCCCGCTCATGACCACGCGGGGGTTCATGATATCACTTATTCACAATATCACAATAGGAAAGTCTAAGTAGTTATTTAATGCTCACCCTAGCCTACTTTAGCTCACCTAGATGCCTAATCTAGCCTGATTTAGCCTAATCTAGCCTAAAAATATATTCTCCTCTATTAGACTTTAGATTTAGGAGCATTTATTTATATAAATGCAGCCTAGTCAATATTAATAAGTATATAAGAGAACTAGGAATAAGTATTTATTCTTAAGGATTAATATCCCCTAGCACCCTTAAGGCTATAGTATAAGTAAGATCCTAAGGGCTGTAGGTGGGCGTTAATCTTAGGGATTAGTACCCTTTAGGCCCCTAGGCCTCCTTAACTATAGACTCTTAAGGGTGCCCTTAATATACTTAGCTAGGCTATCTATGCCGCCTAGGCCTAAATAAGTACTTATACTATTAAATTATTAATAATATAAGCTTATCTTAATACTATATAATAGTAAAGTATTTATATTAGGTATTATTAATAGCCCTAGCTGTATCTCTAGGGTGTCCACTTATAGGTATATTAGGGGCCTAAAGGTATTATCTTAATAAATTTACGCCCCTAGGTCCCTGGGGACCTTATTAGCTAAGGGTGTTATTATTATTTAGGGCGCAGGTGAGTACTAGTGCTATTAAATTATTAATAGTATAGGCTTATCTTTATCTTATATAGTGATAGAGCACCTATGTTAGACAGTGATAACAGCCACTAGGTAGGTCCCTAATATAGGTGGTGGGCATAGTAGTATAGGTTATCTAGGGTGGTATCTCAGTTTAGAGGGTCTAAGGAATTTTAAAGAGAATAAGTTTTTATATATAATAATTTAATTTATAATAAAGTTTATTTTAAAGTTTATTTTTATTAACTTTTATCCTTATAGCTAAATATAAAAGATTATAAAAAAAATTATAAAATTTCGCTTTTTTTAAAATAAATAATAAAATAATACTTTAATATTAATAATTTAATTTAAATCTTTATAAATAGTCTTTAAATAATTAATAATATTATTAATAATATTATAAAGATTTTTTATATTATCTTAAAGTCTAAATACTATATATTTATAAGCCTTTTCATTCATATAACTAAATATATAAATAATATAAAGTTTTTTGATATTATAATTATTTTTATTGATATATAGCTTTTACTTTATTAATATTAACTAGTTATTAAACCTAAGACTCTTATTATTAATCAATATAGAATAGAAGGTTTAAATAGTTTAATAAAATACTTAAATTTATTAAAATTATAAGATCTAAGGATTTTATTAATTAAGATAGTAGTATTATTAATAATACTATATATAAGAGTTAATATAAATTCTATATATTTATTCTTTATAATCATAAGCTTAATCTATACATTCTTTAGTTATAATTATATTTTCCTTAATTATTTATCATTTTTTAGGGCTAATATAGCCTTAACTTTAATACAAAGCTTCTTATCTATTAACTATTAATTACTTTTAATTATTAGATATAATATTATATTTTATAATATATCTAGATTATTAGTATAAAGATTAAAAAACTATTTTATAATTATTATATCTTTACTTTTATTAAGAATCCTATAATATTTAAATAATACTTAAAGATTATTATTATTTAGTCTTATTATATTTATATTATTAATATAATCTAGTATTTAAATATAATAATAGAATTACTAGATAATTAAAATATTATTTAAATATTATTAATTATATAGAAATTAAAATTAGTTTCAATATTATATAATGGCCCTAAGTAAATAAATAATTAATTAATAGCTTTAATACTAGAATATTTAAATAAAGAGAGGAAAGAGGAGAGGAGAGAGATATATATTATAAGATATATTTAATATCTCTTCCCCCTTTTCTATATTAAACTAAAATAGGAATAGTATCCTTATTTACTATAGCCTGCCTAGGGCATCTAGACAGCCAGACGACCTCACCATTACCATGACACTATTACGAAATTATATACCTTGTTATAGATAATTAAAGAGATTATATAGTTAAAAAACTTAATTATTATTATAAAGATTAAAAGGAAAGGCCCTATTCTAAATTATATTAACTTATTTAATATTATAGATATTCTTAAAAAGAATAGATTTAGTATAATAACTAAATAAATTAATAATTATTACTTCTTTTTTTACAATATAATTAATAAGAGATTAATTAAGGTTAAATAAATAAATGATTATATAAATCTTATTAATAATCTAATAAAACCTTGAGATTAGATAAGGTATATTATATTTAAAAAACTAGTTAATCTTTAGAAGAAGCTATACTAATCTATACTAAAAATAAATTAAATAAATAATAATAAATAAATAATCCCTTTTTCTACTATTATATGCTTTAATTGATATTAAAAAAAGAGGTTAACTAATCTAAATAGGTGCTCAATAATAAAGAGTATATTAAAGGTATATATTTAATTAAGTCTAATATTATTCTCCTTAATATAACTATACTATATAATTACTTACTTTATATCTAAGCTAATATAGTAATAAAAACTATTATCTATCTCTTCCCTCTTTAGGCCTGTGTGGGCCAACAAATATTTTATAATCATTTAGAGATTTATAAATTATATTATATTTAAATATTTAAACAATTAAAATATATTTCTTAATTATTTAGTATTTTTAAATAATTTCTAAAGTACTTCCTTAGAACTTTGAGTAATACTTAATTCATCTTATATATTTACTAAATGATTATAAAATACCTATAAAAGACTTATAATATATATATAGTTTTTACTAGTTTTTATATATTAAACTTAGGAATTTTTAATAATTAAAGATTATAGTATTTTAATTACTTACTAAGCAGTGCACAGATGGCGGGTAATAGTGGCAGAATCCCTTTTTTCTGCCATGGTGGACCGCCGTCCGTGCATAGTCGAGATCCTCTAGGTCCTGTCGTCATATAGACTTCAATAAAAATAACACACCTATTATATCATACAATATAATTAAAATTATCATTGAATACTGGTACATGTACAGATGAAGGTCATGGTTTAAATATATCTCGGAAATAGATTGTCCTAGCTATCTTCTTTCACTGTATAGCCGAGGCAGCGCAAAATATTCACACTAACCACCCAGACCTAGAAGATAATGTATAACATATTATTAGTCTAGAGTGAAACCGGATAAAATGAATATAAAGTTCTAGTTTATACCTACATGCATACTAGCTTCAATATTATGCATCACCTTCTTCATCCTCATCACTGGTTACCTCGATATTTGCCTTAGAAGACTGAGGCTCCTCAAGCCCGACTTTCGATCGCGGCTTGTTTTCATCATCATGGACTGCGGCGGAAGTCCTACCATATTCTGGTCGTGGAATAGTTTGACCCTTCTCTCTTAGAATGACTTCAACATCAGGCAGCAGGGATACGAGGGATGAAAACTGGTCCACTGGAAGGGATATGCCCTAAATGTATATATAGGCCGTTAATGAGCTGTAATATAAGGTAATATTATCACAGAATATAATCACCTTCTTGCCTGGCAACTCTTGTCCGTCTTTTGTATAGTATTCCCGGATGCTCAAAAGGGTCTGACCTCTGAAAGTTGATAGTGTTAGACGACGTGACTTTGCAATTTCCCAAAAGATGTCCCCATTGGAGTCCATCTTTCGTAATGGGCAGGAAACTGGTTCAGCACTATTATCATGTTGATTTTGGTTTCTATCCTGAAGCTTGATCCTCTTTGTACGTCGCTGAGGCTCATAGTGATCCATAGTTAAGTTATTATGATATGTTGGTGTTTGGTGGCTGTTATTTAAGAACCTTGTATTATGAACTAGTTGAGGGGTACTTAGTTGACTAGGTAGCTACCTACCTATGTAGTAGGTAGCTGTTGCTTCCGCACCTCTGCATCGCGTTCGAGTTCAAGTAGCTAATCACTAGCCCCACCGAGGGAGGTCCGCGTGGAGGCCTCTAACAACTAGTGTACCTGGTAACATATTCAATGAGCGAGTTCCTAAGGCAGTGGACTCACTGACCAATGACTGGGGTATATATATACTTCTGGATATTTAACAGGACCCTTACATAGAGTTAAAGCTTAAGAATATATTTATTTATTTTCTCTTCCTAAATATAAAGATACTACGTGACCATAAGACAGCGCTATTTTATATTAAAAAAAGTTATTTTAGATTTATTATATTTATAGTGATTAATATATATACTTACTATAGTAATGAGGAGCTTTAATTTAAATGTATAATTTATTAAAACATATATAATAAGTATAAAAGAGGATTATTATAAAATCTTCCTTTTTTATTCTTTAAGATAAAGTATTTTTTTAGATAAATAACTTTAAGGCTAAAATTACTATAAAAGATATGGTAACTTATAAGATTATAAGATATAGAATAATTAATATCTATCTATATCTTTAAAAGATAAGAACCTAAAAGAAGAAGAGTAATATTATAATATTAGTTATTCTAATAGTCTTATTAAAAAAATAATTAGTAAAGAACCTTTATATTTCTTTTCTCTTCTCTTCTTCTTTGATAATCTTCTAATCACTACACTGTTCTACTCCTTCTCTGTCTATTATAATGCCTACCAACAAAGCAGCGTGGATTCCAGCCAAAAAAGCGGTTCCGCTACAAGTCTAAGGGCCCTAATCTTATAGGCTTTATATAAATAAACATTTGTCGCCATATTAAGCACTATTGCTAAATTCTATAAAGATATAAGGCTAACTTAAAAGGTAATATATTCTATATATGAACTACACATATGGGTGAGCCGCGCAGGTCTACCCCCCATATAAAACAAATATATTACGAACTTTAATATCCAGTAACTTTTATAGAGAGATATTAAATAATATACTATAATATAATATTCTATAATTAATATATGAAGGGTATAATAATATTTTAACATAAGACCCTCTATAACCCTATTATATTAAAAATTATAATAATAAAAAGAACTATAATAATTACTAAATGTAAGTATTATTTTTAATATTAATATATTAATAGATATCTATTAGCCTCTGTAATATATATAGAGATTTTTAGAATATATAATATTATATTTAGGGTCATATTAAGGGTTATAATATTAATATTTTATATAGTATATAAGCCTGCGCAGCTCACCCATGTGCATGGTTTATATATGAAATATATTATATAATATTATAATAGAGTATAGTAGTAAAATAATATTAACATAATTAAATTATAATAAAATATAGTGTAAGGATCCTAGGCCTGGGTGGTCTAACTAGTGCTATATAGGGGGGCTAGGGGTCCGCAAGAGTATCTTGCGGATAATTTTAGTCTTTTTGGCCGTGTTGGTTAGGTGGCCCCTAGGCCTAATCCTTACACATAGTAAATATTACAATATAGTATAAGAAGTTATAGGTTTATTATAGCTAATAGCTCTTTACTAGAGGTGATATAACTTAATGATTATTATATTATCTAGAAGTATTTATAACTATAATAGTAATACTAGTTAGTAGTTATATAGTAAGGCCAGGGCTATACCCTACTAATACCTCCCTTAAATATAGCAATACTAGAGAAGTAAACTAAAACAACTAAAATATATGTCAGAGGTGCGTGCCCAATTAGGCTTAGTGTCGCCTTATTTAGTGTAGCTGCACCATATAACCACCTGCTTCATGTCTAAGCTATAGTAGTAATAGTAACTATTAGCTATCTCTTCCCTTTTTTAGGCCTGCTAAGCTAATATAGTAGTATATTATTTAAAAAGATAGAGCATACCATATTTAATAAATTCTTATTTATTTAAGATCCTATTTAAATAATATTGATGTCTATAAAGCAACAGGCAATATAGGTAATATAGGCGGTTCCCCAGGGGCCAGACGCGTTTAAAAAACTAATAATAATCAAATTTTTTTTAAAAAAAAAAAAAAAAAAAATCTATACCTACCTAATTAATAAATTAGATGTCAATAGGCCTATATAATAGGGATAGAACTAATTAAAGGTTCACCTAATAAGTAGTAGCTATATTAATAGTTAAAGATGTTAATTAAGCAATTAAAATTATAGATAATTAACTTATTTTAAATATTATTAAAAAGTTATAAGGTAAAGAGAATATTAAATATTAAGAGAACTATATCTAATAAATTCTTAAAGTTAATAATCTAAAGAATATTATTTATAAAAATATATCTAGACTAGTAGAGAATTTCTATAAATTTAATAAATAAGATTATATATTATAATATATAAAGCTCTAGCTAATATTATTAATTAATAAGAATATTTAAAATAAGATTAAGATATCTATATTACTATAAATATATATAAATAATTTTTATTATATTATTTTAATAAATATTAAAGAAATAAGTATTTATTAAGCCTCTTATAACTTTAAGAAACTAATTAAGATATATTATTTAAATTATTTAATAATTAAAGAATTTATTTAGAATCTTATTAAAAGTTATAATATTATTAATCTTTATATTAAAACTTATATAAGATCTTATATTATAATTATTATTCTTATAAATAAAGTAAAGAATAAACTCCCTATTTAAATTAATAAAATTAAAGATATTATTAATAAATATTTAGATATAGATAATATAACTAAAAAGGATTTTTTATAATATTATAATAAAGTTAAAGATAAGGTTAATAAATTAAAGAGTAATTAAATATTTATTATAAAAGTTATTAAGTACTTAAGATTAAATAATAATAATAATAATATAACTTATAAAAATAAGTTATTAAAGAATATAAAGCTATATAATTAAATTATTAAATAACTTAATAATTAAATATAAAATATAAATAATAAGTATATATTTTATAATAATAAAAATTATAATATTATAAGCTACTACTACCTAATTATTAATATATAATCTATAGAATAGTCCTTAAAGATAATAATATAATATTATAAGCTATTAATATTAAAGAAAAATAATAATATTAAGTATATTAAGATAGCCTAAAAATCTATTAATAATATTAATAAAAAAAGCCTTAAGAATAATAA